CTTTGTGTAGAATGGCGATGTTGTTGAAGATCAGTGGAGTGTTCAGGCTAAAAATCTTCTACAAGGTTTTGTCAAGAAAATTAATCTCCCAATCAGGTTTGTATCAATGTTATATTCTTTAAAACCCTTTTGAAGAGCCCGTCTCACTAGGATGAGCTATTGCTGTTTTAGGTCGATGCTGTTCAAGAGTCCCTACTTAGTACCTTAACCTAAATACAAAATGCTCCTGAGGAATTATACAGAAAATAGCAAACAAATTTTTAATCATGGAGCACTAACCACTATTTTTTTTGGTGATTGTTAAAGGTATAGCATTAAAACTTGAACAATTTGGTAGAACGTTTTCAAGTTTAAATCCATGTCCATTCTTGCCATCCGTTGCAACAGGCGACAGAAACCAGTTTCAGTGCTTAGAAATATTCTTAAATAACAAATTTGCCGCATTATTTTTGGGATTAATCCTGGGTGGGGATGGAAAGGATCCTGTTATGGACTACCATGCACTGTCTCACTCCACCCAGGTGTATAAATTTGGGTACCAAAAGATTTAATCCTGGGTGGAGGTGGGAGGGGTCCTGTTATTGACTACTATCCCGTCCAAGGAAGACCAAAAATGTTCCTAGTCGTTTCATGCCATGGAGATCGGAATGTGCTACGGCCAAATGGGCTACCTGGCTCGAACGCAGACTTTACCTTCGTACCTTTGTCACTTATTTTAGTCTCTAGTCCTCTTGATGACCTTATAAACCACCTCGGAGGACCCGGAAAAGTAGCAGAAATGACAGGCAGGCGTGGTCGCGTGGTAAAAACTGACAAGCAGCCTCAACCTCATTACGAGGCTCGAGAATCAGACAGCAGCAATGTGGATAGTTTGAATATTCAAGAGGTGAGCAAAGTAATCAGACCTTGCCCCGTGTTCCGAATAAAATGGTAGAAAATGCAATTTACAGTCGGTAATTACAGTCATCAGTACAGACGTCATCCTCGGCCAAGACCCTGAGGCAGGCAATCAGGTAGAAAACTTCGGTCGTGCCGTTTCTGCCGACCTGACTGACTGCCCTGGGTCTCCGAGGATGCATAGACGCAAGGGTATAGAGATAAGCACATGCAGAAGGTCAAAAACTCTGCCTTTGTCTCTTACATTTAAACCAGGACCGTCGTTTCAGCACTAGAAAGACAACCTAGTTCTTGCTTTTGTTACTTGTTCCTGGGATTACAAGTTTACAAGTGTAGTCCAACCTTTAAGTCTTGCTGTAAATCTGAATGAGACTCTTATGTATGCCGTGAATTCAGATAGCAATCCGGTTTCGGATCTTCGTTTCATTTTCCAGTATTTTTCGCTTTCGCTATGACAACTAAGGCCCGTTTCAGACGCCGAACTTTTCATGAGCCGAACCTAAATCGAATTAAGGCCGACCCAAATTGTTTAGACCGGCTGAATTGATTCAGACGCCAATCTTAATTCCGGACTGACAAAGGAATTGCTTGAAGCTGAAGNGTTCCTGGGATTACAAGTTTACAAGTGTAGTCCAACCTTTAAGTCTTGCTGTAAATCTGAATGAGACTCTTATGTATGCCGTGAATTCAGATAGCAATCCGGTTTCGGATCTTCGTTTCATTTTCCAGTATTTTTCGCTTTCGCTATGACAACTAAGGCCCGTTTCAGACGCCGAACTTTTCATGAGCCGAACCTAAATCGAATTAAGGCCGACCCAAATTGTTTAGACCGGCTGAATTGATTCAGACGCCAATCTTAATTCCGGACTGACAAAGGAATTGCTTGAAGCTGAAGGATTGCCTCTTTAAATACCACAATTTTTAGAGAGTTGTTTGAGTATAATTGAATATTAAACGTTGTGTTTTCGATTGTATTGTATCACAGAGGAACAGTTTTATGAATGGAACAAAACTTGTTGCCATTATATCTGATGCCGCCAGCACTGGTAAGTTCCCTTTGCATCTTGGAAAATTAGTTACAAGCCTTGAGTTTTTTTTTTCTTTTTTCAAAGCTACAACAAGTGCGTCATAAGTGACTTTTTTCCCCGTGGTTCAATTTTGCCCGTATTGCAGACAATTAATCACAGAATGAGAACTTTTATAATTCTTGTACGTCCGCATTGCACCGTGTTTACCGTACGTTTGCAGTGCATCATGAAAAAAGCTTGGTTCCTGCGTTTTTCAAGGTCTCTATTGATCACCTATTTGTTTTCCTTGTGTCTGGAAAAAAAAGTATATTGTTTTAAAAAAAGTCGGGAAAAAGTCGTGAATTTTGGATCCAAAAATCTGTACGAACCCTGTCTGTTGAAGTTACTTATATAACACCTTGCACTTTTTAAATTCTTTTAATACTTGAAAATTGAGGGCAACTGAACCTTAAGTTATTTTCACGCAAAGAATCGCTGGCTCAGTGCCTGTTAGCGTTCAATTGAGTTGCCATTGCTTGGAATTTCGTGCATAGACTCGAACTTTAGAGTGATGTTTCTCGATCTGCACTCAGGAACATGTACCAAGCCATTACTTTGGTATGTCAGATAGCCTGTTTCAGGATAAAAGTTAATAGCGCAGTCCAGCAGTAAAAAGTGATGCGAAAAATGCGCGGGGCTAGAGAAAGAGGTGGCGGTTGGGCGGTGTCTCTCCTATTTTTCCCGCCATCGCCCCTTCCCCAGATCCCGCGCGTCTTATTTTCGCGACGTCTCTACTATCTGAGAGCCTGGCACAAGCTATACCGAAAAATCCCATTATATACGCTCAGGGCTTTAACGTGGGATTTTACGGTACCGGTATGTCAGAATTGGTCACGAATTAGAACTATGTGTATTTGTTGCTTGTGTCATCTACGAGAAAACGTTTTTTATTTGAACGCGGAACTTTTCTGCCTTTTTTTTTTCAGCAATCCATTTGTCCTGGAGTTGCTTTGTGTAAGTTTCTGTTAGCAGCACAAATTCATGACAAACATGAATTCACAGAGTTTAACTCCATCGCAAGGGTGAGTTTTACTTCGTTGGTCGCGAACGTGGTTAAAATTCTTGTTTAATTTCTCTCCTTAAAAGTGGATTTGGAAAGAAAAGTTATGATGTCAGAAACAATTTTATGTGTCAGCTAGGCAGGGATATTGCTTCATAAAACTTCTGGGCAGCACGCCGGAATGGAGGAAGGATATAGTCATTTTGTAATTACATATGGTATGGTGCGATCAGCAAAAAATGACTTGACAGGAAAAATTAGAAAGACATTGCATATTGGCAACTCAATACCCACCAGCTATTTTCTATCCAAATAGGAGATACATTGGTACCCTGTTTCTTCTTCACGTCTGATAATGAATTTCATTTTTAGCTTATGAAATAAATTTAGAATCAGGGAATGTTTCATGTCGACTTTTAAGGCCAACAAGCCCTATACTGTTGGTCAATCGTGTGGACAAAATTTCCGTGCCGGATAGCAAAAAAAGGCATTGGGACAAGAGACAAACAAAGGAAATAACCATTTGGAAAAATGTAGGCTCCTTGTTTGTCTTGTCCCATCGCATTTCTTGCTCCTCAGCTTGGCATTTATTGTTACCACGTGACTAGTCTAGCTTCCGTCACAGACAAAACTAAATTCTGGTTAAGTCCGTCTGCAAAACAGCGCCGATATCCTTGTTCTGGGCACCCACCTGTGTACCAGGATTTGATTATGCACCATAATTGCCATCAGGTTGAAAGGAAAGTTCAGCATTAGAGCCCCTTTCTCCCCTCATGAAATTTACACAAGGTAGAACTGTTTCCCGCTTTTATATCACACTTAGATGATCTTTCAGGCTGGAAATGTTCATGAAAGTGCTAGTCTCTTCAATTTCAAAGAGAAAAAAGAAATTGATATGAATGAGGATTTTCTGGATGGAAGTGAAATAATTTAAGTACAATACAGCATCAACCCTAACCTAGAAAAAGAACCTAACCAGTTTCGAAACAGTACTTAACCCTAATCAGTAAAGGAGGTGCTTAACCGAAATCAGTAAAGGCAGTGCTTAACCCTAATCTGTAAAAGGCAGTACTTAACCCGGGTTAGTAAAGGGGAAAACTAGGTTGTGTAAATTTCGTGAGGCGTCCTAAGGGGCTACGGTCGATGGGATCTAATGATAACCGAAAGGAAATTGGAAACACACTTCCGGCAAATCTCTGAATCCGTTGGGGCCCAGAACAAGGATCTCGGCGCTGTTTCGCAGACATTACTGAGAATTGCCTCTCAAAAATACAAAAAAAAAAACACATCGGCAAGTTTAAATTTACGCAATTCAGCATAAAAGCTACTCTAGCGTAGGAGGATTTGAGGAATTTAATCTAGTATAGGGTAGCAAAATTCAGCTGAACTAGCTCTGGTATAGGCTAAGGGTTACAGGGTCCCGGCGGCACATCACCACCCGAGATTACATCTGCGACGGTGGCTATCGGTAGTCCAGTTTCATATCAGTGGTGACTTATGAAGAAAGTCTTTCTCAAAGGTTGTCCATTACATTTACCGAGGTGTCCAAATGACTGAATTACTCTCAAGTTTATCAAAGCCCTGTTTTCTTTTGTTTCGCAGCAATGTCTTCTGTCCATGGGAGTAACAGACGCTAGTTTCACAGTGAAAGACAAAGAAGCCGGCGATGTGGGAAAATTTCTCAACCGTATTTTGGGTCCTTAGTATGGAAAGACAAAATTTGGTAAGTACAAAGATCCTTTGGTGGATATAAAAAGTACGTTCGAGAGGGAAGTTACAGAATGACAAACTTGAAAGATGGCAATGGGAAACATTTTGAGGCCGCAAAACTAGTCCTTAAACAAAGAATAGGGTAAGTAATCTAACATTTATCACTTAGTTCGTCAAGATTACCAAGACTTTTTAGGACAGACGTTTCATAACCTTCGCCTGATCCACTGATGATTGTTACGCATATCTTAAAGATGGCGTTACCATATGTTGTCTGTGACATGATTTTCAAATAATTTCAGAGAAGCTCAAAATGATTTCCCCAAAATAATTTTTAACATAATAATATATAGATTTAGCCAGGGCTAAAAGGGAGGCTCCCATTAATAAATTTATAATTTAAATTAAACAATAAACTTGTATTCGAATTCCACAATTCAGTTAACTTTAGAGCACATTTATGTGACTTTTGA